CCGCACAAAGGACGCGGCCCGCCGTGCCCTCTGTCCCGGGAACGTGCGAGGCCGTGTCCCGTCGCGCGTGACCCCGCGGCGCTGAGTTGGGGCAGTTTAGTTCAAAACTAAACCCGATGGGGGCAAAAACCCTCGGGAACATGGGAGTTCCCGAGGAACCGCCTTCCCTGTGGCCCTCGCGCTTTGAGAACACGGCAGTCTGTGTCCCGCTGTCAAAAGCATTAAACAAACGGTGATTTTTGAATGAGGAACATCAAAGATTCATTGAATTGAATGACTAATGTTTGGCTTAATGTACTTTGTTGCTTGTTTGTTTGTTTCAGGAATGCAGTAAAAAACAGAAAAATGATGATACGCAGAGTACACCTGCCAATGCACTGACTTCAAATGCTGAATTGGAAGAGGTAATAATCCGTGTTTAAAAAAATATATGCTCATATTTTTAATCTTTGTAGTCTGCTCTAAAGGAATAGCATGATAGTTTTGAGTGTATTGGGCATAAAAGAGACCAGTAAACAAGCAGTGCCAGAAAAGTATGAGCACTGCTGCCTATCTCATAACATGAGAATTAAGAGCCTTTTAAAAAGATGGAGGAAAAAAAGAGGAGTATGCAAGCACTAAAAAGAAATTGTCTTTTCTGAAGTTATTTGACTATCAAAAAAGAAAGCAAATCTTGCCTCAAATAGTTCAAACAAAACAAATAATCAAGAGAGAAGCATGCTCCCCTGTAAGGGGAAAAGAAGGGTGCTTTACAGTTAATGCCCAGAATGTGTTTTCATTTCAGTGTGAGACAGACTTATCTCAGAGCAGCAGGTGATCTGTGGCTGTTGTCCTGGGGATGGTTCTTAAGTAGCTTGGTTGTGTTGCGCTTTTACACGAGGATCCACAGCTGCCAACAGTATTTTAGCTAGAGTTGCAGAACTCTTGATATTGTAGGCATTGGTCGACTTTAAAGCGCTATTCTGTTTGTACCAAAGGCAGCTGTTCTTTCCAAAGCCAACTGGCTGTGTGAAGCAAACCAAGTTCAAAAGAAAACTTAATGTTTGTTTTTTATTTTGATTGCAATTCCTGTTAATACTTGCTTGGGGCAGGGAGCGGGCGGAAGAAAAACAACCCGGTTGCTCCAATTCCTGTGTTGCATTTGAAGAGACTTAATAATTCAAATGAAAGGTTTCTTAATTGCCTGGAAAATTGATGGGGACTGTCAGTCCTGAAATTGAGTGTGAATGTAGACTTCAGGGCGAAATTTAGATCTTAAGTGTTTTGCAGTTTCACAGTAATAATAGGAGCAGACCTTTGGAGAAGGATGCATCAGACTACTCTGATTATTTCTAAATAATATTGCATGTTACGTGGGCATCGTGGATTGTCTTGTTTAAAACAAAATAGAGCATGCTTGCTGCTTAGATAAGTCATTGTAGAGATCCTGGAAATTGGTTTGGTCACTGTTTAGTGTTTGTTGAATTGCATAGTTACACATATGTAAATATTCTCTCTCTCTTTTTTTTTTTTTTTTTTCTCTTTTCCTACCCCCTAGAAAAATGAGTTTCCTGCTTTGGCTAATGCTAAAATACTCCTTAGCGACTGCCTAGCTTGTGACAGTTGTATGACATCAGAGGAAGGAGCCAGGGTTTTCCAGCAGAATCAGGAGGAGCTCTTTCGCATACTCAACCTTAATAAGGTAACCTGACAGAAACAGTGTACTATTTTCTGTGAGGTGGAGAAAATTACGGAATGACTAAGCAGCTTGGTTGCCTGAGGCAGATAGTGTGAAGATTTGTAAGGATGTACTTTATATAAGGAGAAGGTGAAGGCCGAAGGCAAGATGAACGGTAAAGGATTTGAAATAATTCTGCAGTAGAAAGGCAAGATCACAACACTGAACCTAAATGCCAAAAGAAAGTTATTTACAAAACCTAGCTACCTCATTACAGTAATGATAATTAACTGTGGTTTAGAGTTTATAAATATGCTTTTCCCTGTTACTGGGATTATTCTGAATGCTTTTGATGACAATACGTCCACATGATATGAGATTACCAAAGGCTGGTTTTCGAAGGTAGGTTTGGTTTTGGTGCCCGTATTTGGCACTGTATTGAGCTGTTGCCCAAGGCTGGTATGCAAAACAGATAAATGTGTTATTTTGCTCTTTTTCATTGCCTGCTAAGATCTAGATTCCTTGGAAAGCAGTTAATATGTACAACACTCCAATCTCCAGATCTTGATACTGACTTAATTATTTTGCTTCCATTCCAGACTTCAGAAGTAGCTTTTCCCTACCATGTAGGAACAGAACTGAGGCTGTCGTAATATGTACCTAAGCATCATGATTAGGAGTATTCTTCATGTAGTAGTTTTAAGAAAAACTAGTTTAATTCCTCATATACACGATGGTGTACATGACAAAAAGAAATAGCAATTGCAGACGAACAAGGGAAAAAACAGCAGGTCTTGTGGGAGCCTATCCAGAGAGAGTTCAAAGTCCAAAATTTGGAGGCAGCTCAGTAGCCTGAACAGAAATTCAGGGAAGTACTAAGTAGGATAGTGAGCAAGGAAGGTAGCTTGAGGAGCTCTACTTCAGGGCCATTGTGCATGTGTAGGGTGTCTAAGTACAAAATATGCTCTCTTAACATTCCTACAGCAAGACTTGCCTGTGATATATGTCCTAGTTTTTCAGGCATTTCACCAACGCAGGTAAGAAACTCTTAATGACTACAAGAACCAACTAAGCCACAACATTAATATTCAAATAATTACCAGTCCCCAGCATTTTACAATTTTGCATTAGTTAGGATATTTTTCAAATGGTTCTTCAGTGTTAACAAGACATTCATAGGGATTTTTATAGTATGGCCCATGGAAGCACAGGATACTGAGGAATAGTTTTCAGGAGTGGAAGAGAGGGAGAATAGAGAATTTACCTTTTTCTAATCTATGCCTTGTTACCAGTATTTTTGTTTTGTTTACCAGAAGTGTGATACCTCGAAACACAAAGTGTTGGCAGTGTCTATATGTCCTCAGTCATTGCCTTATTTTGCTGCTAAATTTGATCTGTCTGTGAATGATGCAGCCAGGAGACTCTGTGGTTTCCTCAAAAGTCTTGGTAAGTTTGAGTTTATTGTGATGGTGGAGCAGAAAGGGGGGTTATTTCAGGTTTTTGCTTCCCCAGAAGAATCATGTTTGTTATGCAGACATAAAATGCCATTACACAATCTGGTTTAGAGTTCAATTTAAAATATGTATTCTGTGACAGTAGTGCCATAATGATGCAAGTTTCAGAAAGGGATTGGAGGCATTATCATGGTGACGGAGGTCACAGAATTGACCTCTCCACATTATGGAGCTGTCTTCCAGAGCTCCTTTTGCCTTCCTTGCCTCTGCAGGCTCTAGAAGCTTCACACTGAGATCAGGTTGCTCGTTTTTGTTTATTTGTTTTCTTTCTTTACAGATATTTTCATTCAGTTCTGAAAGACTGGATTCGCAGTTTTATTTTGAGTAGATCTAACGAAAATAAAATACTGTAACGTTTCTTACTTAACTCTAAGCACATGATCTGTTCTGCTTAAAGTAGACTAGTTTAGCAGAAAATAGATGTCTGGTGTACCCAGATGGTTTTTTCCACTGAGGAAGTAGAATTTTAGAAGTGAGACATCTTAGGGCTTATCCTTGAAAGGTGAACAGTTAGAATTTGAAACCATTCACGCGTTGTGGAAGGCATGTAAAAATGCCTTTGGGCACCATTATGCCTTGCTGCTGAGCAAGCCTCGTTAGTAAAGCGATTGGTATAAATTTAATAGGAAAGAGGGCTTGTTTCTTTTCTGTTAGGTGCCTGCTAAGTGAATTTAGAGAGGTCTGAACCGTGAGAGGTTCCTTTCTTGGCATAGGAAATAGCTGCAGGCCAGCAGCCTTTCCAGATCCAGAGTTGTCTGCCTCTGCATCTGTCACTAGATGGAAAGAAAGAAAACATGCAAGGTGTCTCAGCAGTTAATTTCTTCAGTGTCAAAGAGAGGAAGACATAACTAGGAGAAACTGAAGTGTGAAGAGTGTGGCAATACAAGCCCTGCTAGCGCTGCAGCATGTGACTTGTTGAACAAGCAGGAAAGTGAGGAAGCCTAATCTGAGAGTACTTTCGGGGAAGAAATAAGAAGAACTTGTATTTTTAATATGTTTTCTCATGATTAGAATAGGCAAGTCCTTTAATTAGACTTTTCTCATGGGTGAAACCTTTGCTAACAAGAGATCAAAGAAGTTTGGTTAGGAGTTTCCGTAAGTACACTCTTATTTTGGTGACCGAGGAGGAGGGGGATTCTTACCCTGAATGGCTGCTGGTCCTTTGACATTTTATGTCTCTAGAAGTTCCTGAATTTTGTTTTTCTCTGCAATTTGAATTGACTCGCAAGAAGTATGCTGCATCTGCCTATTTTATGTTGAAGTTGTGTTTTTGTTCTTCATAGTGTATGCTCTATGAAAATGTAAATATGTGTGTGTATGTGTAGTTTAGCTTACTATTTGGCTGTTACCCATAGTTCAGTGGATTTGGTTTGGTTTGATCTAAACATATTTGAGAGCAGAGAGTAAATAAACCTGTAAAACATTGTTTTCCATATAATGTGTTTTAATGTATCTGTACCCAGTATATTTTCTTTATCAGAGAAAAAAAAACTTTTTTGGGGGTCCCACTATTCTTAGAAGATTTTAATCATCTTTGCTCCCCTTGTTGCAGGGACATGCTCAGTATTATGTAAGTGCATAGGGAGTACATAAACAGGTACATAAACAGATGGGTCTTCACTATGGTCATGGTATGCTTGTGTACTCTCACAGGCAACTGCAGCAGTAGATGTGCCTGTCAGTATGTAAGCTTTGGTGGATTGAAAAATGCGATTTCAGCAAGCCTTTAAAAAGACTCTTCACTTTTGAGAGTCTCTGCCTGCAGTCCTGCAGCCAAACAAGCAAAGGAATATGTGCCCAGTGATGAGCCTTGGATAAGGAAGCAGACAGCCTTTTGAAATGTTGCTAACAAGTTGTTACTTCTTTCAAAAGTCAGGACACCAACAAGATGGTCTTTTAATGTATGTTTTTTTATTTTGGACTGTACTGCTTGTGAAAATTTGGAGAGGGTAGAGAGTACACCCACTGATCTTGTGAGCTTTTCTATAGACCTAGGACTTGGAGGGGAAAAAAAGATGCGAGATAGAAAATGTTCTTGTAATTATTTTTTCTTTACTGTTTTGTTTCACAGGAGTGCATTATGTATTTGACACCACTATAGCTGCTGATTTCAGTATCCTGGAGAGCCAGAGGGAATTTGTGCAGCGATATCAACAGAGGAACCAGGAGGAGCATGCCTTACCAATGTTTGCCTCTGCTTGCCCTGGTGAGAATTAACTTCTTAAACCTCTCTGCACTTCATAGAATCACAGAATACTGAAGGTTGGAAGGGACCTCTCGAGGTCATCTAGTCCAACCCCCCTGCACACGCAGGGTCACCTAGAGCACGTGGCACAGGGCTGCGTCCAAGCGGGTTTGGAAGATCTCCAGAGAAGGAGACTCCACAACCTCTCTGTGCAGCCTGTTCCAGTGCTCTGGCACCCTCACTGTTAGGAATTTTTCCTTAAGTTCCTGTGGAACTTTTGGTGTTTCAGTTTCCGGCGTTTCCTCTAGTTCTGTCGGTGGCCACCACTGAAAAGAGGCCAGCACCATCCTCCTCACTGCCTCCCCTGAGGTACTTCTAGACACTGCTCAGGTCCCCTCTCAGCCTTCTCTTCTCCAGGCCGAACAGGCCCGGCTCCCTCAGCCTTTCCTCATAGGACAGATGTTCCAGGCCCCTGAAACATCCTAGTCTCACTGGAACCACCAAAGAATAAGAGCAAAGTGGTTTTGTTTGGCAGCCTTACAGACCTTGCAGCTTTTGGACTTTGCTTTTGAGAGACACCGAACCTTGCAGTATCTGCTGCCTGTCAGGCTTGGTGTGTCTTAGCGCCGTGTTAGTTTGTCCTGTTTTCTTTGAGCTGTTGGGAGAGCAGAGTTTGTTACCAGGCATCAGCAGATTCCCCGTGTGCAAGGAGGCTGGCAGGGGCGTAAATGAGAGCCCTGCAGACCAGAATGGGTGTGAGCAAGTTGGATAAGGCATGTGCTGATACAGAACAGCTCGTGGGCAGGCAGATAGAAAGTGTCCCATGAGTGCCCTATCTTCTTACACTTGTCTGCTGGGGAGCTCTGGGAAAGGGTACGGTGTGTAAAACCTCTTGTTGCTCTTTCTGAAAAATGAGCCTTGCTGGTCATCCACAGCTTCTGCTAGTAAAAGAAACCTGATTGAGCAAGTTTCCCGTGCCAGTACTTACACCTGGAATCTGGTAGCCAGTTGCATTTCACATCGTTTCTACAGAAGAAGCTTGTGAAATAGGAATATATATGAGTGTCTCGATAGTAAAAGTGAGATACAGGAGATTGAAGTTTTCTGTGTTTCTTGTAAGGTCCTAGGAGGAATTTGACAAAAGTAGAATTAAGATGGAGGAATCAATAGCTGCTACTTGTATGCCCAGGCTACAACGTTCAATAACATACCATTCCCATACTGAAAAGAACCTTTAAGGAAAGAATGTCTTTGCAAATTGATATAACTAACTGTGTTAACCTTATGCAGAGTTTTGAACTTGTCACTTTGACACTTGCATCCAAGAGAGACATTCTTACTGACTGTGAGAGGTGATGTCTAAAACTTGCAAAATAATTCTAGCTTGAAATGTCACAGTTTGCACCTGAGAGGTGTTCTGTTATGAACAGAATCTGCATTTATCCTAATGAAAAGATGTAGAACATCCCAGTTTTTCTGCCTAGTGGTTTACTTTTTGCACCTATTAGCACACTATCATTTGAATTTCTTAACCACGGTCTTAAGAACAGAAATATGAGTAAGGGGGCAAAAGTCATGTCTTTGTCCCATTCTCCCCAGCCCTGCCCTAATAAGTTTGCTGTAGTGCTTTTCAAAAGGTTTTCTAGGAAAAATGCAAAAATATTACTCTCTAACTTTGGAAGATCTATCAGGTAGGAAAGGTCTCTTCAGAAGAAGGCATGCTATATGCTTTTTTTTTTTTTTTTTTTTTTAATACAACCTGTGAAGTTGGAACAAGCTCCTGTTACTCAGCTTTGTCTTGTTGTACATGGTTTATTTAAAATTAAGAACCTGAGCAATTACTTTAGAACCTCTTTTGGGATCATGTTAATGTTCTGCATGTGACAACAGAACTGAGATTATCTGCCCCTTTTACTGCAGTTATTTCAGCACTGGTAGTTGAGAGCTTTTTGGCTGTGCCCCTTCCCATTTCAGTGCTCATGGTGGTGCTGGCCATGTGTGTTGGGGTGTAGGTGTGAGGAGAGGCTTGGGTGTTCTCCGTTGCTGGAAGCTGAACTGCAGTGCCACCAAATCATCCCCACAGTGTGTGATGCTTCATTCCTGTTGGTAGCAAGTGTAGAAAAATTTCCCGATTGTTCATCTTTAAAGATCTTTAAATTTTTTTTTTTTTTTCTCTCTCTCTCTTTTTCCCTGACTTCAGTGTCTGGGTCTATTTTCTGTTCCTTGTTCTTCCCTTTCCTTGCCCCTAGGTTATATATATATATATATATATTCTTACTATGGACTGTGTTTGTTTATCACTTAGCTTCATTAAAAAAAGAAAGTGATTTGTAGATATAAGGTCAGTGTGTGCTGAAATGCAACTACTTTAATTTATCTTTGGGTTCAGCTGTCCACACACGGCAACGTTGACCTCTGTAAGGGTGGCCTGGGTATAAAATCTACACTGTACGAAAGAGCACAGCAGGCAGGGCCCCAGCACCATTTTATTGTCTGTCTAGATTTTTTTTTTTTCATTTTCTGCTTTTAAAAATCTCTCTTTAAAAAAAAAAAAAAAAGGGTGGAAATTTTTCTTTTATTTTCTGTTCAAAATACAACACCGTCAGTATTGATTTTAGGGAACTAACAATTTCTTTTTCCTTAATTTACCAGCTTGGTAACTGACGTTTAGCGCTTGTTGTAGGAACCAGTCAGTGTTTTTAAAGCAATATCAACCTCTGGTAATCCCTAAAAGATAAATGGGACAGTCGTATAGAATTGGGAATCACAGAACAGTTGAGGTTGGAAGGGACCCCTAGAGAGCACAGGGCGGCACCCAGGCGGGTTTGAAGATCTCCAGAGCAGGAGCCTCCACAGCCTCTCTGGGCAGCCTGTGCCAGGGCTCTAGCACCCTCACAGCAAAGAAGTTCTTCCTCACGTGGAGATGGAACTGCCTGGGGTTCAACTTGTACCCGTTACCCCTTGTTCTGTCACTGGCCACCACCGAGAAGAGTTTGGCCCCGTCCTCTTTACATCCTCCCCTCAGGTACTTGCACATGTTGATCACATCCCCCTCAGCCTTCTCTTCTCCAGGCTGAACAGGCCCCACTCGCTCAGTCTTTCCTCACACGATAGATGCTCCAGTCCCTCCATCATCTTCATTGCTCTGTGCTGGACCCTCTCCAGCAGCTCCAGGTCCCTCTTGTCCTGGGGAGCCCAGAGAAGGGAAGAGTATAACTCTTGGATTCCTGTGCTGATGTCCCAGTAAATCAGACTCATCTCCTTTACAGGAATATAGTTTTAGAGTAGGGCACACTTACCTACTTATTTTTTTCTGCACTATATAGTGATGCGTAATTATTTGTAGCATAGGTCTGTACGTGAGACCTGCTTACAATAAACCACCAAAAATAATGCAAGTTCTAAAGTATGTCTGCAAGATCTTACCCAGCCATTTGTAGAGTTTCTTTTTTGTTCTTTGACCCTAAAGCAACGCAGCACGTGGCTGAGAATTGGAATGACCTTGGGAAGGGCGCAAGTCTCTGTGGGCACAGACATACATTGATGCAAGAACTTGGTATCTTGGGCTTCCTGCAAACGTGGCAGTGCTGTGAGGAGCGAGCAGAAGCAGCAGCGTGTGTGAAGCCCAGATAAAAGCCCTGGGTTGCTCCTCTGCCAAGGCAGCTACTGTAACTTAACAGGGAGCAGTGCTCACTGTGGAGCTGGAACTACAGAATGTTTGTTTTGTCTGCTGCAAAGGAAAGAAAACATTTAAGAAGTTAATTTAGACAATAGATGGCAGCAGTTTGGGGTTGTCTAGTGAAATTTTCTTCTAGTGTATGACTACTGATATTCAAAACATTCAGCCTCAGAAAATGGGCTGCTTAGCCAGAGTGCTGTGGTGATTAATGGTAAACATAGCTACAGTTTCAAGGAAGAATGCTGAGGTCCAGAGAGACTGCCAAAGTGATCAGAGACAGAATGTCTTTAAGAAAACCTGTCCCCATTTTGCTTGCAGCAGCATTTGTTTTATTTTGATGTACACGTCGTACAGAATATGCTAATGTAGCCTTTACCTCAAGCACCAGAAACTAAATCTTTTGTTGTAGATCACACATTAGACTTATACTGCTGCTTGATGCTGAACATGACACAAACTTCTATTTAAAGATCAGCAATTCAGCGCAGCCCTGACATGTAAATCCAGTCTGTTTTTTTCTAGAATATAAATGAATATAAAGTCTTGTGCAAGATCATGTGCATCCCGCGTGAATTTTTTCCTCCAACTCTTGAAGGATGTGCTTGAATTGCAAGCACTGAGCATGTGGATGATCCTCATGTTTTCCTAACAATTACACCTTCCTGTGTTCAACATAAATATTATTACACTAAACTCCAGAAAAAAATTCCTCTTCCATACAGACAAAACATTTGAATGCCGTTTGAATTCCAGTTTCATGCTGTCGCCGGCCTTCATCCTGTATTTTGAGTTGAACATATACCCTGGTAATCTCTAAAAATCACGTTTAACAGTTAATTACAGGTATTAGATTTCTTGGGTAGCATGTACTTTGCAGTGTCTAAATGAGGGATACCTACCCCAAATATCTTAATCTGCTCGTTCGTTCCTGTCCTACAAAATGAGGAACGATAGAGTTGCCCTAGATATTAGGGGTGATGTGAGGATAAATTAATAGCCAAAATACCAGAGGAGTTTGGTAAAGGGAGAGGGAGTCTTAAATATGTCATATCTGAGTCGATATCTGTGTGTGTGTTTGTGGCGGAGGAGTGTTTCTAAATGGGATTTAGCTACCTTGACAATAGTAAAACAAGTCTCTTTCCTGGGCACACAATGCACATCCATTTTGGATAATACTTCATTTCATCCTTCTTTTCCTAAAAGGCAAGCTTGGTATATGGATATTATATGTCAGGAAGCAAAAGGTTGCAGTTGGCTAGCTGGTGAGGCCACGTTTTGTGTGGTGCTGGCTGCCCCTGGCGTGAGGTCTGGAGTGCCCGCGACTCTGCTGCCCGGCCCTGTGTGTTACACCTGTGCGCGAGGGTGTAAAAGGTTGTTCATTCAGCACTCCCCAGGTCTGGAACTGGAGCATGCCGGCTTGGCCAGGACCCCTTGGGCACTGCCTAATGATGCCTTGAGGTTTCCTACAGCCCTTCAGGTGGGCTTTACAGTTTGCATAGGCTGAGTTTTCTGCTTGCATAGATAACTGCTTGCAGAGACATCATGTCTACTGTGAAGGCTTCATTTTTAGGAGCTTGTCAGCTTGGCATGTGTATGTTTCTTTTCACTGACGCTGACTTGCTTTCGTTCCAGGCTGGATCCGGTACGCCGAGCGGGTACTCACCAATCTCGTGACCTCTCACATCTGCACTGCAAAGTCCCCACAGCAGATCATGGGCTCCCTGGTGAAAGGCTACTTTGCCAGGCAGCAGGTAACTCATTTTGTTTTATTTACCTTTATATTCTTCTAGAAAGAATGATACACCGTTTTTTAAAATGGAAAAATACATCTTGTTGTGCTGTAAAAAGATAAAGCTGCTGTCTGAATTGTGTGTCCTTCACTTGAGAAATGAATTGTGCTCTGTTCCTATGCAAGTATCTATCATACGGAAAAAATGCACAGAACCTCATTTTGCGCAGTGTGTTGTAAACTGCCTCAAATCCTTGTGCTCCCAGTACAATATGGGTTTAAATATTTATGCATAATGTTAAAAAGAAAACTCGTTAGCCATCCTGGATTTAAATGCTCCCTGTGGAGTTCTGTACCGTAGCCAAAACATGGAGCTGAAGAAAATAATATAGAAATTATCTTGGTTTCAAGAAAGAACATTGCAATCTAGATACTGAACTTTTGCTCTTCACTTGTGCATATTGAAAAAGTTGCCATTCTTCTCATGTATTATATGTAAATCGTACTGCCTCCAGATTATCTAGGAAAGTATTGCTTTTCCTACATGGATACAGAAATGTTGATGAACTTGGGGTGAATGAAAGTGGAGTGACAGAGCTGGAAATCAGAATTCTGAAGTCTTGACTTTTGCCCTGAGAAGTGAGTGCAATAAAAGCTGTGCGAATGGGGCTCTGAGGGAATAAGCACAAGATTCAGTGAGAAGGCTCTTCACTTCGGATGATTGTTGCTCATGCTTTATGACTATGGGCTAATGACTTCATCTGTGTGCCTGGTCTTCCAATTTATCACCAGGGTTAATTATTACTGTTACATATGTAGTGCTTCTGGTTGCATTTTTCATCCTTGAGGTTATCTTTGCTCTTTCTGTTCTTTTGTCCCACAGAATTTGTCTCCTGATAAAATTTTCCATGTAGTTGTGGCGCCTTGTTACGACAAAAAATTGGAAGCCTTGCGGGAAGACTTCTACACTGCCTTCTGGAATTCTCCAGAAGTTGATTGTGTTCTAACATCAGGTGAAAAACTTCTTCAAACTTTAAGCCCTGCATGAATCTGCATTGAGATAATCCAAAAGGCCATACTGGCCTTTATCCTGGACCCTGTGTTTCCAAGCTTGTCTTAGTGGAAGGATAAGGCTTTTTCTTTTTTTTTCCCCACTTTTAAAATGTCCTTTCCTGTGCTTTTGGTAGTAGCGGTGTTGTGTAGCGTAAGTGCAAGCAAGAAACATTTTGGGTTGATACTCACCCGCAAACAACATTCGGATATTTGTTCTTGTCAAACCCTTGGGAAATGCAAGAGCCTTATTGCAGTTAAGCCGTGTTACAATCTCTGTCCTCTGATCACCAGTTCATCTCCACTGGAATTAACTTCCCAAATGCACAGTAGCAGTGGCTTTTTGGTGTGGCTGTTGTCTCTAGGTCTAATGTCCAAACAGTGTATCTTCCTTTTTTCCCCTAAGATCTAGAAACATCTTCCACATTTTATTTCACTGAAATGGCTAGCTATTATTTAAAATTTGGAGGAATTGTATGACTTTTTTATTCAGACTGCAAGTGCCAGGTATCTGGGTTTCTCGAGGGAATCAACACTAATATTAAGGGAGAATGTGGCTGTAAGCACATGTATGTGCTGGGATATTGAGCTCTTAAGAGACACAGCTTGTGCATTTTGCTCTGTGCTGAAAGTAAAGTGTCGTGCATTTTTCTACAGGTGAAATTGTCCAAATAATGGAACAGAAAAATGTGTCCATGAAAGATGTGGCTGAAGTAGCTGTAGATAGTTTGTAAGTAATTTTACTGTGGATTGCTTTGTTACATGGATGACAAACCCTTGAGCAAATTCAACATGAGTGTAAAGTTTCTCAAAGAGAGATTTCTCCTTTTGAAAGAAAGAAAACGCCTGCATCAAAGCTTGAGCATTTTGAAGGCTTTTCCTTTAAATCCTTTATTTTATTTATGTATATGCATATATATATTTAGATGCATATTGCTAAAAATAAAGGCAATATATGAAACAGTTAATGCTATTACTATATCAATCTAAAACACATAATTTGAAATAAGTCCCTTTCAAAAATTAAGAGTACGTAGCTTTTATTTATATTTATTGCCGAAATATTAGATTCAAATACTAGGTTTGATGAAGTTCATGACTTGCTAGCAAGCATCACTAAGGGTGTCTGACCCCGTTGCCTAAAGCCTCCCTGTCTGAGCGTCTGTAAAGTCGAACAATCTCATCTGCCCCCTCCTGCCTGGCCTGTGGGAGGGTGTGCTGGGGTGTCACCGTGGGGTTGACCATCTGTTCTGTGCTTCCCCCTCATTTGGGGCCGGCATGTTAACAGTAAATTTCCACTTTTCTGTGATTCAGCCATGTGGAATTAGCAGAAACAATACCCCTTTGCAAAATGTTAAGTCAGTTTTGCCTTAAACAGAGCTGCTCAGTTTTTAAAAATTAGATAAAATGAAAGCGTGGTTTAGGCTGGAGGGTTGTAGACGAAAATCAAACAAAGCCTTAATGAGATTTTGTTTACTCCCTGCGTGACTGCCTTGGAAAGCAATGTGTTATCATGCTCTCAAAGACAGGTTTTCCAGTTTACTCATCCTGGTTCGAGTGTGACAGGTATTACTTGGCCTCTTTAGAGGGTGGTAGCTGAGCAGTAAAATACTTTCTTGCCCAAAAGAGAAGAAAATGCTTAAAAATCCTTTTAACTTTTATTGAGTATCCTAGAGACCTTGTTTAGATTGGAACGGCATACAGAGTCACACCGAGGTAATAATTCTGCATCAGCCTGTCCCACTGAAGAACAGTGTTCTGTTAGATCAGTTTATACTGGAGAATAAGGTCGTTTTTTTTTAAAAAAAAAAAAAACACTAATGATTTAGCACAAGATGTGAACCTGGTAACATGAGATTTTGTTTTTCTTGAATCTTCACAGTTAAGTTTTTAGAGGAATGAGTATAAACTCATCTTGTTAAAATAAATTATACCATGGCAGCAATTTGTGGTGAGGTACTTGTGATTCTTAGTATTAGCAAAGTAGTGTGAACAAAGAAACCTGCATTCAAGTTCTCATTTTTTTACATCCAAAGAGTGTTAACAAATAGCAGTTGGCTGCAATTAGGAGGCAGCATCATGAGGTTGAATTGTCCGATGTTATATTAAGAAGCAGTTCTGTAACTTCTTAAGTAAATGTAATAGCGTAGTTTAGAGGGGGTGTAGATACCAGATTTGAACTTCAGTTCTTCAGTGATTGCACTCTGTGCTTATTACAACCTTATTACAGCCTCTTATTACAACCTCTGCTTTTAGTAAGGTGTTTTCAGCAATAGTTCTTGCTCCGGCTACCCAACAGATCGTCCTGCTCAGGCAAGAACGAGCAGTAAAGAGCAGGCAAGGTCACAGTCAGGTGTTGCAGTAGGAAGGTAAATTAGACTGTAACTGGACATGCTTTTATGTGCGAGAGCAAAACATCTGTCCGTTCATCGATCTGAAGAAAAATTCTTTGTGAAATTAGCCATCCCAGCCACCCCGTTCCTGCTCAGAGGAATGTGAGTCTGCCTTTCACCAGCACGTGATGTGGTACAGCTTGTGCTACAGTCGTTTGTGCCTGTGAGTGCCCCGCTGGGATAGGGGAGGCACAATACAGCCCTTTGCTGAGTCACAAATTCCCACTTGGATACTTGTCTCCTACCTGTAGCACTCCCCACAGAAGAGCTGCTTGCTGCATGAGCAAAGGCTTTTAGCTTCTGAAATACTTCTAGGTCTTCCCAGCTTAAAAATCTTACTGCATTAATACACTCACTGCTATAAAATGCTTCCTTTGGGAGGGAGAGAAGGAGAAGAATAAATTCTATGTACTTGAAAGAACTGATTTTTTGAATTTTTCTTATTTTCTTCTGCTCTTTTCTTAAGGTTTGGTGAAATAAAGGAGGGAGATGTAGAGAGACATGATGGGAAGACATCTGATGGTTACCTGGAGCACATTTTTAAACATGCAGCAAAGGAACTTTTTGGCATGGATGTTAAAGAAATCACCTACAAAGCATTAAAGTAAGTTGGTGTTCTGCAGTCTTTCATGTAGGATGGGTTAACTGGAGCTACCGTGATCTTCTGTGTGGTCATTACGAACCTGATTCAGCCTCTGATAGGCCTTTGAGTATTTAAAACCCATAAATTCATGGCTATGAAGTAAATGGTTTGACTTCGATTTTTTTTTTTAATAAAGTATCTGCCCTTAAGTGAGGTATGTTTTCATCCTGGAAATTTCACTCAACTTCTATTTTCCTTAGCATTTAGAAACTACAAGACTTCACATTAATCCCACTGTTATCCTCCTTTTCTCTTCGTACAAGCATTTCTCCTCTTAAAACTTCCTTTGGGTAATACAAGGGTTTAAAATCTTCTTCATGTATCTTTGCAGGAACAAGGACTTTCAAGAAGTTACCCTTGAAAAGGATGGTGAGACACTGCTGCGTTTTGCAGCAGCTTACGGCTTTAGAAATATCCAGAACATGGTTCTGAAAATGAAAAAAGGGAAGTTTTCGTACCATTTTGTGGAAGTGCTTGCCTGCCCAGGAGGTAAGAACGGCAGCGGGTCCCCAGCCCTCTTGCACACTCGCCTCGGAGCTAAAGGAAGATTCTCTTACAGGCAGGCACCTGATTTGCTCTCTGCTGAGCAAGTAAGTTGCAGTTTGATCTTTGGGAGCGTTTCAAACTTCAGATGAAAGCCTCTGAAATGGTAGATTTCAAGGGCAAGAAAAGACACGCGATGCAGCTAAGATCACAAAACCAAAGAAAGCGGGAGATTGTTTCTGTGGAAAGCTCATTTCCACAGAACAGCACATCCTTACGATGCTGTTGTTGATGCTGAAGTTGTTTTAAGTAAATACAACAGCATTGTAAGGATGTGCTGTTCTTTGATGCTGAAGTTGTTTTAAGTAAATAAAAATCATCATGGGGAGGGGATGCTAGTTCTTGTCAAAATCACAGGGTCATTTCCTCAGCTCCCTTTTTTTTTTTTTTTTTTTTTTTTAACTCATTAATAGCCAGGTTGGGTTTTTATTACTGCTGACTGTATTCAAAAAGAAAAAAGCTCCATGGAAAATAAGAAACAGATTCTCAGTAGAGAGGTGAGTTCATTAGGTGCAAGTTGGCACTTCTGTTGTTTTATACACTGCTACGTTGCTCAATAATCAGAGGATCCCTGGGTTTCAGGTGCATGAACTCCACTAATAGCAGGGATAGCTAAGCTCAAAATGCAAGGATTTAGGAGACTTAGAGGAACTCAGTTACTAACGGCTTAAAGAATTGTTCAGATTTGGGTGCACTGGCAAAGCAGTTTCCAGAGCTTTAAATATAGTTTTTTGTTGCACAGGTCTGTTACCTTTATGTAATTGGTCCCCCATCAGCTGCCTTGCCAAGACATAGCCTCCCAAATTCTGCTTACCTTGACTATTTTAATTTTATATTGAGAGCATCTGTGCATTGTAAAATGTTGCTGTTTTCCTCTGCTTTTAGTACAGTTTTTATTTTTATAGGAAAGATGCCTCTAACTTGCATTTTCCGATCAGAAGGAATAACTTCCTGGGTAGTTGGTGTAAGCTATTGTATCTCTTCATGAGAGCACTGAATTTACTTTCATTGCATCCAGCTGTTTATGTTATTCCCCTTGTTGTGGGGAGGGAGGCATCCTGAGTTCTAGTGGTGGTGCTGCAGTTGTTCTACAGTAACTTGGGATTTACTTGCCTTTTTAACCAATAAAACCCTTTACAGTGACAAGCGTGTGTATGGGGAAAGGTAATGAATTGATTTATGCCTTCTCTATCCTGTAATCCAAGCCAGTCACAAATAGGTTAGTACAAAAGGAGGGGGAGTCTATTGCTCCCCTTCAGTTTCCCTTTATAAACTGAAGTTTATAAACTTGCAGAGGCTGCTTTGCCGGGCTCCTTTATGGAAGGGAACCATGCACTTCGGTGAGCCTGGACACACTTTTCCAGCTTTGCAGGATTCCATCTTGGCCAGAATTACAGCACTTCCATTCTTCCATGCTTTGGGTTCACAGAGTACCAGATTGTATTCAGAACTTAAATTTATTTCCATGTTAAGAGACTTATGACAGAGAAATAATGTCATAGATGACTAAAATACTTTAAAAAGTATTGGGCAGTGCTTGTGAGCTCATGAAAGTTGCTACATGTGGGCATCGTGTGTTTTGGTGCACTTATTTCAAGGTTTGTTATCAGAAGGATGTTCAAGAATGGGCAAAAACCAAATCACTGCTAGCTTCCTTTTACTCATACCAAATTTGTTCTTGATTAACTGCTGTTTCAAAGCAAGGAACATTTCAGCTTTCCTTTTGCAGTCTGGAAGTGTAGATGGGCACTCCTTAATCACTTCCAGAAGTGTTTGAGGGCATCTATATTTAAACTTAATAATGTTTTAACTGCTTGCATGTGCAAGATCTAGTCCTACAAGGAGCTCTGTATATTTGAAATCAGCATCTAACTCGCACTCAGTGGATGGGATTAAAGCGTCAGTAAAAGCAGTGCCAGTTCTGACATGGGCTTAAACAGCTGCCTCAAGAAGAGAGGGAGAGATGTAAGTACATTTCCCTGATGCTAAGAAATAGTTTAATGTGAAGCTCTTAAGAGTTGTGGCTCTCAAGTAAACCTCCTTGAGCTCAGTAGTGTTTTACTTTGAGGGATGTTCTTCAAAGTGCATGAATTTGGTCACTCTGACTACTGGAATGAAGCCAATGAGATTATGCTCATAACATAGCCTCTGTAAGTAGTGCATCTTCTTTTAATAAAGATATTATACTGAAATGGTGCAATATCAGAAAATCTACAGAAATCTACCTCTGTACAGGGAGTCCAGAAATAGATAGATGAAACCATACTAAATACCTGCTAAAGAAGGACAGTGGTGTTGAATAGATTTCTGAACAGGTTAGTTTTAGCAACAACATAAAAACTTCTTTGATCTCGTTTGCTTTATCCATTTCCCTCCATTCCCTTCAAAGCTTCAATAGAATTACCTTGTAATAAAGTCTTGTTCGATGCTTGTATAGGCAGATATTTCTGTGTGTATGTGTGTGTATATATGGTTATTGCTTGATAGCATGTTTAAATTATTGCCTAAGTTCCTTGTAAAGAATGCTTATTTTTTATGTGCATATACTGGATAAAATGATACAAAAGAAGTTTGCTTTTCTGGGAGGATGTTACGTTGCTGAGCTCCAGCCGAGCTCTGTGGTGCCCATGGGGTGTCCAGGGAGAGCCTCCTTTCCTGCCCTCTTGGAACAGCCCAGGAATGGGACGAGAGATGAAATCCATCTGCCTGCAACAAGGTGGCTCGATGTATAAAAACAAATTGCTATTTTCCCCTTGAATCCACTCATGCTTCATCTCCTGAGTATTCTAATCTGTCAAGCTATGAGGTTTCCCTCTCCGCCTTACTTCACTGTTGTATTGTTAGGATTAAAAGTGGAAAACCCTGCTGCAGCTTCACATTTACTGTAGGACTCGTCTGAGACTTGATTCTGGTTTTTAAATCTCCTTGTGGGAAGTTGGTCGTTGTTAATAACCCCCGTCTCGGGGCACTGGCCGGAGCTAGAGCTGTGCTCAGTTTTGTGAGAAGATTTTCAGCACCGTAGCAGGTTCCTTTGCCGCTAGCCCTAGTGCTTTACTCCCCTATGACAGTTGTGCTTGGCTCTGGATGCGTTTTTAGAAAAGGCACCATTAAAGGGGAAGGGACAAATGACTGGAAATGCTAAATGGTAGCCTGGAGCCTCTCTTGGGGCATTGCTGCCTGCAGCAGGTTCGTGGCGGCTGCCCTGGGCTGTAGGACTGGGCTCCGAGGCGGCTGCCGTGGCCCATGTTCACCGTCATGCCCGTGTCTTGCCCAATAACTTCGCTTCAGCCAATGCACCCACCTCATGGCTGTTGAGCCGCAGGAGTTTGCGGGGAGCAGGAGCTGCAGTACCGCTTGAAACTGCAGATATATGCAGCTGTCTGGAATGGGTTGTATGTGGATAATGTACATTTATCTAAATTTTGGTGCTTTGTAATCAAATGGAGCATGACCATGAACTGTCCTAATAAATCTTGATACTGAATTACGTAGTGATTTTGTCTCATAAGAGCTTGCCTCAGTTCTCAAGTGTGTGTTACGGTAACATACCTGCCTTTTTGTGTGTTTCGCATGAATATTGTCCACAGCTGCGGAAGAGCAGCGCTTCAGTGCGGAGCCAGCCCGACATCCCAATCCACCTTTAAGGAATAGGCTGTGTTCCAGAATAGAGCCCTGGAAGAAACCAACTGGTCAAACATGGGCAGAATCCTCCCAACCCACAGCTAAGTGTGACACAGTGATGGGGTTGTGTATCCTTGAAGGAAAGGATAACCATAAAATGGAAAATCGAGGGTGCACTTTTTGGTCAGTGAAGCAGTAATCGAACGTTTTCAGCACTGCCCCTTGGCCAGTTACATCCCTCTACTCCACAAAGCAGTAACTGGGCTCCACGGTCCTCTGCCCTTTTGTTTTTAGAGGAGAGCAGGGTACGTGGCCGCAGGCAGAGGAGGAGCCCGGCAAGAGGCTTCTTGTGCAAACGGTCACGTTGTCCTCGGCCACCCTTGGAACGAGAAGCAGCAGTGAGGACGGGGGTGGTTTTGCACAAGCAACTCAGCAGATCGTTCCCCAAAACGGGACAGGGTGCAAGCAAGGAGCTTGCGCCCGCGCTGCTCTCACTGCGTTGCTGGCCTTGCTGCCCACGTAAATGGGCGAGTGCGCCTGAAAAGGGATGTGCAAGTCGTGCGCGTTTATCTACTGAAGCTCAGAAGGGCTCAGGGTGAAGAACTTAAATGTTACTCAAAAAAAAAAAAAAACCTACATATAAAACTTAGGTGCAGAATGGAATTACAGGCGAGAATTGCTTTGCAAAGGGTTTCATTTGTTACAGGTTGCCGGAGCTCACACCAAGCAAAGCCCTTGGGCCGTCCCCTTGCCTGCGGACCTGTGCCGGGGCTCCCGGCCGGGCCCCGTCCCACGCGCGACCGGGCAAAAAGCGCGGCAGCGCCGCAGGTTCTACCGAGATTTGAACTCGGATCGCTGGATTCAAAGTCCAGAGTGCTAACCATTACACCATAGAACCGCGCGGTGGCAACGCGCCCCCCGCCGCGCCGCCATGAGCCCGGCCAGCGCCTCAGCCCCCACAGCTACAGCTTCCCGCTACCA